CTCTTTGCCAATACAATTTTTCCTTATTTTTATGTTCACGAATGAATTTCAGCTTGATATCTCTGTATCTTTTCAATAGCAGTGGAGTTTTCTGAGGGGAACATGACTTTAGATTTTTCCCAAGAATTTCATTGCTTATTGTCTATTTAGTGACACAGAATCCTGATGAAAGTAAATCATCCTGAAACTCATGATGAGTAACCATTGGATTTTTTTTAATTTGACACATTAATTTCCTCAAAGATCTCAAAGAAATCTTCTGTGGAGCACCTGTTTTTCTTTGCTTTTCAACAGTTTTGAGTCTTTTATATCTTGCAATGAAGGAACTAATGATAGTAAATAGAATATTCAGGTTGTCTGAGATTTTCCTGTAACTTTTACCTTCTTTCCAGAGCTTAACAATCAGTTCTTTTTGCAAATTTGTCAATTCTTTACCTCTTGCCATGATGATAACCTTCTTGCATGAATATCAATTACAGAATATTCTGTTTGTTTTAGGCTAAAAATAACTACTGATAACATTATTGGAACATTCTAGAATATTCTACTTGAATAATCTTGAGTATTAAAACAATTTAAAAATTTTAAAATCTGTATTTTACGAATACTTTTTCACCCATTAAAATGGATAAATGGGATTTATTTCCATTAAATCAATTTTTTCTCTGTCTTCTATGAATATTTAATTACTATGTATTTGTGTACAGTTAATTATATGAAAAGTAGGTTTATTCATTAGTTGGAAATACAATAAATTAAAAATGTGTATGTGTACAAATATTTCTTCCCCCGCTCACTGTACATCTGTACTTTTTATTTACAATGATATAATTTTAAAAAAATTTATTATTTTTTAAACTAACATCTATATTTTTTTTTTTATTTATATCTGTATTTTATCCCAATTGAAGGGACAATATTTTCCTGGTCTTCTGCTTTCCTTTTCCCTTCAGTTCCAAGGTTTATAAAAAATATCATTCACTAGTGGACCCTAAACTTTTATAAATACACAGCTTAAAACATTAATGAATGATTTAAACCAGTGCTTCTCAACCTTTTTCAGCCCACAGATCATTTTTTCTTCAAAACTTCAAATAGACCATTCCTACTTTTATTTTTAGCCTGTTCAATTTTCACACTAAAATACTCAATGTAAAGACAAACTAGTCTAATTACACTTTAAAATTTATTTTAGTAAATGATGTAATGGAATAACCTGTCACCGCCATGAGTGACTACACTATAGGTAGTAACTACCTATAAGTATCTGTAAGTCAACGGACTACAGAGTCTAGCTGGGATCTGTTGAGTATGACTTATGTGAGAACTACCGACCTTCAAATAGTAGCACTCACTACTGGATTGACTTGCAACAACCTTGTGCATAACTGTTACCTTTATTCTTATGATACTGTTTTTTTTACAATAAATCTTTACTTATTTTATCCACCTTGTTTTTCAAGAATATATTCCTATTAGCACAGAATGTAACAGTAAACAAGAATAAACACAGGATATCAAAATCAACTTTGATGATGTCATTCAGTCATAGGTCATTCAGCAAGTGACTACCTTGATACGAGGTTTCTGACACAAGATATCATAATCATAATATATATAGCACTACATAATATCTACATAATTTTAAAATTTTCAAATAGAATGAACCTGTGTGTAATTAAAGAAAATATTATATTTTTTAATTCTTCAAAGTATGAATAATTTAGATATATTTTTTGTGAAATGGCTACAATTTCTTTATGCCTACAAATTCTCTGTGGAACACTGGTGGTCCACCTGGACCATGTTGAGAAACTCTGGTTTAAACATTGTTGAGTGTTTTCATTTCCTGTAGACATTTGCTCTATAAATTTGTGTTCAGGATCATTTGGAAACATATTCACATGCTTATATCTACTGTCTTCACATTTATATATATTTGACACCAGTTGATATGAAAAAATATTTTAGTATGATTTTAAGTGGACTGAAAAAAAGTGTATTTTAGTTATATCAAGGAAATTTATCTCTTTTTTGTCTTTAATATCCTTATCCCAAACTCTGGCAAATAAAATACAAATCTGAAACTTATTTTTAAAAAAATACTTAAAGCATTGTAACATTACTAGCCTCTGACTATTCTATCGCTATTACTATGATAAAGTTACATTCCTCAGTTATACTAGTTCAGATCCTCACAGCTAGGGCCTGTTATGCTGTGTTCATGGTAACAAACTATCCTTATTCCCTTCATGTTCCTTTGATAAAGAGCAAGTTCCTCTCAGAGAGCTTCTTCACTAGAACTGTTACTTTGCAGAACAGTCTCTTAAGAAGATCCTTCTCTGGTAATTACAATCTTAGTCTCTTTAATTCCAGGGTCAACTGATATTTATCCAACATGCCATTATAATATGCATTTCTTATTTCCTCATTCCCACTCCTTTACAACAGTCTCACACAGTAACCTTCTATCTTGAGTGGCTCTTGGGCCTTATATTCAGTGAACTAACAATAGATAAAAAAAAATAGTTGGAAGTTGCAAGTAAATTTGTTTTTTATACTCAGCATAAACATACCACATTCTCTTCAATATATATTGATTGGAAAATCAATGAAAAAGTGGAAAAAATTTTTCATTTTGTTTTTTAGCACTTTGTCAAACTACAGTGATGTTTCGGTTGATCTAACTACCCATGTGCATGGAGGAGGACACTGAAACTTCAACGTTTTAAATTAAAACTTTTTTTTTTTACGTAAACATAAATTCAATCTGGCAAAGTCCTAAGGAACAAAATGTTTCACAAAAAAAAAAATTTTCCACTTTGTTATTGATTTTTCTAACATTGTTCTTCTATAAAAAATGTATATATCATTTTCTCTCATACACACACACACACACATATATATATATATATATATATATATATATATATATATATATATATTATAGGCATGTGCCTGAGTGGTTAAAATGTTTATTTTCTGACCATGAGACCAGGGCTGATTTGCGAGGAAAGTGATTTCATGATGCTATCAGTTTGGAGGAGATGATTCCAGGATGCAGCAGCTTTGGAAAGTGTCTGAAAACCCATACCACAGGTGACCCAAGCTTTATGAGTGTAATTGGGTAGATGGAACCCTTTGAGAGTGCTATCAATGGTTGTGCCAGCACAAAGTTACAAGTCATCGTGACCGAGGGTTTGAGCATGTTAGCCTTGTTCAGACTGTTGATCATGCTCGATAACGTGCTCAAGCATGGCGTTACAAGGAGTGAAGGAAAATGAGCAGACTGAAGTGAGGGGAAAAGGACAATAAAAGAAAATAATTCATCAATACAGAAGATAGTGATTGGCATTGCATTTAAATTTTTAAAGATTGTTAGTGTCAGAAAAGCAAGAAATCAGAAGTGAGTTCCACATGTGAGAAGTGCAGGAAAAGAAACTATTAAAAGAGAACATATGGTTGCATCTAGCTAGTTCAACAGTAAAATGGTAAGACCTAGTTGCCACTCTAGTAGTATGCGTAAATTCATGCAGTTGACACATAAAGAAGGAAAGCTCATCAGAACAATTGCCGTGAAAATATCTGTAGAAAATGTTGAGAGAAGTCATGTCGGTGAAAGTGACTGAAGTTGAGATGCCAGATCTAGATCGATTGCATTACAGACCCTTATATATTAAAATAAAATGTGTAAATGTATAAAGAAATTAATTATATGATATTTCTAAAATATACAGATTAAAAAAAAATCAAAGTGGTATTATTTAAATAAAATAACTCTACTGAAAAGTTGGTTGGAACAAAGATTACAGACACAAAAGTAGAAGTAAATAATCTCTCTTATTCTTGCAGCCATTCCTGACTCTTCAAAGTAGTACTTCAAGATGTTGGCGATCATGGCTCTCCACAATTTCCTCTTCTTTGTAGCTCTTAGTAAATTTTATCTTTACACTAACTTTCCTAACTGCCAACTATTTACACACTCGTTAGGTAGGTTATGTGCTGTTCTCCTCTATCCTTCTTGCTTTCAATATGCCTTGTGAGTATCAAATTTTCTAAGCTCTCTTTCCTCATTATGTGATCTAGTAATTTCAAATATCTCTTCCTGATATTAATATGTGTTCTTTTTGTTTCCCTTTTTTCTAAAATTTTGTCATTGCTCACATTTTCAGTCAATGGTATACTCAGCATCTTTTGTAGAACCACATTTCTATTGTCTCAAGTCTCTTTTTCATCTGTGAGGAGATTTTTCCGCATTCACAGCTATATAGGAGGACTAATATTTTATAACAGTTCAGTACTTTTTTCTTTGTTTCAAATGAAATTTTCACATTTCTTAGTCCATTGATTAGCTTTTGGAAAGCATCTTTCACTATCACCAAGCATCTTTAGATTTTGGTGTCATACTTTCTGTTAAAACGCTTGTTAGATATTTAAATTTTAAAATGCTTCCTAAATATTTACATTTTCCTCCTTGCTTTGGTTTTTGGTATTTCCAGTTTGTAATTTGCATGTTTGACTCTTCCTTTTTCTAACAACCATACATTCTATCTTCTTATCTTTTTACAGTTGATGCTTAGTCCTTTCTTCTCACTTTCCTTTACTACCTTCTGTCGGAGTTCCTCTAGTTTCCTTTCTGTGTCTGTTATCAACACTGTGTCACCTGCTTATCTTACACTGTTAAGATTATCGCTGCAAATAATGAAACCTGGTAGGACTTTTAATTCTCTCAGAATCACCTCACTGTATAGGATGAATAAGTCTGGTAAGAAGACACATCCTTGTCTTAAGTTCTTTTCTATTTCTGAATTATTATGATTATTATTATTATTATTATTATTATACTACTACTAATAATAATACGTATGTAGGTGCTGATTGTCTTGTTATCTATTGGGATGAAAATCCAAGTTAAATCTTCACAGTTGAAAACTTACGAGTAACTAAAGCAACAAGTGTGAACAGAATAGTATAAGATAAATGTTAAGAATTCATAAATATTAATATTTCCACAAAGAATATTTCTTATTTATTCTGTCAAGTGTAATTAATGAGCTGATCTGTTTGAAATACAAAAAAGTCTTGTTAATATAAAAAAGTGTGAGAAACTTGAATAGATGAATAACATACCTGACAATTAGTGTGTTGATACCAGGTTCATTGAGAACACCATCCACGTAGACATCTTCTTTAGCAAATATATGCTTCTGCCAGTCATGTCCTTCATTGCAAGTGAAACTAAAAGAGAAAGAACAATAGGAAAATATTAAATTATTTGCTATGAATAACTAAATAATAAGATTTTATTGCAACAAAGAAAAACAAAAATACTTTTTCACAGTTTCCGTCATATAGTGTATTATGATAATGCTTCATTTATGGTAACTAGATTTTTTGAATTTAAGCACATTACTAAACTGGTATCAAGATCTCATCAATTTACAGTTGAGCTGGCTAGATTTAGACATAAACTCTAAGCTGATAGTTTCTTTTCTTGCACTTCTCGCTTGTGGAACTCATTTCTCCTCCTTTGCTTTCCAGCCAACTTTAATCTGCAAAAATTTAAATGCAATGTCAATTGCTGTCGTGGCCTTGTTAAGGCCAGAAATAAAGACACAGAAGAGGAATTGAGTTAAATATATTAACAGAAACAGTAATACAAACATACAAACAAGAGTGTTACAGCAAGAATGTTTGGTCTGACTGTCAGAGCTGACTGCTGGAAACTTCTCTCTCCAAAAGGCAGTACCTGCTTCTATTTATAGCTGGGAGAGTCCATGCATGTGTGGGTAAATTACTGCCCTTCTGATTACTCTTTTCTCCTTTCTCTCATTATTGTTTCTGTTCCAAATTCTTCCACAACCTGTAACCCCTTGTGTTTTAGTGGCTTTGCATGGGGTAATGCCAATTAAGAAAAAAAAAAAAATTAAAACTTGACCTCATTAATATTTCATGTAAAGTGAATATTTTACAAAATAATTTAAGAGCAGAAACTGTAATAAAAGGCTTCTTCATTATATAAAAAAGGTGGCACAATCATTTTTCTCATCTCATCACTATTTTGCCACAAAACCCATTTGTCAAGAACTTTGTATCATTTTTTGTAAAGGATTTCATGCTTATTTTTGATAATCAGTTAGCTGAGTTATGTGTCGTGCAAGGCTACATAGGTTGGGTACACCATAAAAACTGAGCTCACAGTGGGTTGATGTGATGGGCTTAATAATCATTACACTTTACAAGGCACACACATGAGAATGCGGATAATGTTCAGTGAAATAATCAATTTGGGTTCAAATTCCAGCTGATTCAATTTCATTCATTTTTTGATAATTATAACCTTGAAAAAGGCATGAATCCATCATCCTTCAGCCATGGCTTGGTTACATTTGATTTGGGTGGTGGCTCATCTAGAAGAAGGTAAAGCACTGAGCTGAAATCCAAGGATGATGGTTGGAAACCATGGCAGATTGGGTGCCATTTCTCTGTTATCAGTCATTCTGAAATGTGCAGCTCAGTTCTAAACAAACCTTCACCATTATAATCAAATCAGAACCATAGTTGAATGGTACGAAACTCTAAAAAGTAACATATTCACCACTATTTTTTGCATAAATTCTGAAGGGTTAGCAGTGCTATGGAAGCATTTAAGGCATTTATGCAGTGTATACGGATGAAGCGAAAGCTTCATATAGTAGCTGTGGTTTAAATGTTTTTAAAATGGTGATTGTGGCATAACTAACAAGCTTTGCTCTAGAAGACGACCCACTCTGAATTAAGAACTTTCAAAAGAGACTTCTGAATTGGACTCGCATAAAAACGCCTGAGATAAAGGGTAAAAATACTACAGTATCATGTACAACTGTCTATGAATATCACAAGTGAATTGGGAAAAATACAAAGAGGGGAATTTAAATTCTCTGTGCACTTCTGCTTGAGAACTGAACACCATCTGGAACAGTCTTTTAACCAGATATCATAACCTTTCACTTTTGCATCACATTATTGCAGGTGATAAAAATGGGATTAGACTATAAACAGAAAATGTAAAAGACAGTGGTTATCACAAAATGAGAGAACCTAACCTGATAGAATATGAAAAGTGTCATCCATTATGAGCTACTTGACCATGGAAGGACCATGCCTGCACACATTTATTACAAGCAACTTGATTGGGTAAACAAAACATTATACTGACAGTGCTTTCCTTTACTAAACAGAAAAAGTGTTATTATTTTTGTTTAAATGTGGAATATAAAATTTTCATTTGCATTGAACTGCAGTTGTTGAAAATGAAGGTGATTACATTTATTAAGCATTTATTTTTTTCCTTTAAAATGTAATTATTTTTTGAAGGCTCAATATATATAGCCATAGTAGTTGAGTTCTAAGAAAAAGAAAAGAAAGGAATTTCGGCCCTCATATACTGAAACTGAAAGAAAAAAGAAAGAAAGAAAAGGAATAGGGAGAGAGTATGAGGAGACGGAAATGATGAAAATGAGAAAATAACCACAACATTCAGCAAACACATACACACAAACAGAGAAAAGAGATCAACCTAAGACCAATAACTAATGGATAAATTTATTTTTTAAATTAAAATAAAAATCATCGAAATGAGAACTTCTGCAGTTAATTGCTGAAACCTCCTGATGAGTGGACCTAACAATTACAAAAAGTTTTGTCTACAAAACTCTGGAGTTGAGGTGCTGAATATAACATCAATCAGGTAACTGTCTATATTTCTGAGATGAGGTATTATTTACATTATTTGGACTATTGTCCTCATCTTTGTCACCATATTTATTACAACAGACACATGGAAACATGGCACAGTGGATAAAGGCGTTAGTTAGATCCAGTGACAGGACCCAAAGAGTGTGAGTTCAATACCCGGTTAAGGCAGTGGAGAACTTTCAGAGGGAAATTAACAGGAGATAACTGATAACTGACATCCATTAAACATGGCACATGGAACTAGAAGTCTACCCCAGTGTGTGAAATAATGGGTTCAGTTCGACATTCCAATCACCTGAAGAAGGCTGGAGCGTATAGTGGCTGAAATTTTGTAATAAATATGGCGACAAACATGAGGACAATAGTCTGAATAATGTAAATAATGTATCAATCAGGTAAGTGACAAATTTTATATTTGTATTATAAGTAGATATTGACATCAACACCCAGTGGTGACAGTCTGTTTCATGCTTAAACAAAATCATCAGTCCATGTGCATTATGTTTTGGCTTGACTACTTATATATGCTGTTCTGTTATGCATTATGGGTAGGTCTATTTATTATTCTAATGGTTATTGGATGGTTGGTGATTGTTATGATTCAAATTACTCTAGGGTCTATTGAGTGGAAATAATTGTGGATCAAAATGCAGTTTTTGGCTATTTGATTTTTTTTTGCTAACTTTATTATTGGTTGCTGGACTGCAATGTCCGCTTTTGTATTTATATTTACATACACTCCATTCCTGATATTGAGCACATTAACTTATAAATATAAGCATAACTTAAAACTATATTTTTTTATATATATTTAGGATAAAAATATGACTTTATTACCCTTGCTCATGCTAATTGTTTATATTTTTTTATATTTATAATTGGTGTAAACATGGACATAATGGAGATATGTAATACAATATATAATAACAAATATAAAAAAATATAAGCAATCAACAAGAGCAAGGATAATAAAATGAACTCACTGTAAAAAGGTGGAGCAAACAAAAGTTTTAGCAATAAACAAAATAAAATGAAAAAAATTTGACAAAAAAAGGTTTACCGGTTTCAGTCCTCACTATATATATATATATATATATATATATATTCACACAGTAATGCCTCAAAATAAGTTAACCCCTAAGATAATATTAAAAAAATTGTGTCATTTTTACAGATAATCTACAAATCTTAATTAAACTATATACTCATTACTAGCTTAAATCCACCCGATTGGGCAGGCTTTAAGCTAGCTCCTGTGGAGGGCTATTTGATTGGGCCTTCAGCTTGTTCAGAAGTTTGAAAATCCTTAAGGTTTTGCATATAATCATCAGTGGAAGCTCTCCTGGTTGCCAATTGATCTGCATTTTAATTTGCATGGGACTTTCTTTTCCTTGCTGCAGAGATTTCTTTTTGCAAGGCATACTGTTGCCATATGTGATAGGCAACAATAAAAGAACTCAAAATTGATTGCTGCATTTAAGTATTGCATTAATATTAAAGCTTATCTTTTAAAAGTTCAGACATAATTTAAAGACAATTGGATGTACATAGGTCCTTACTTTATGTACAAACAATTATTTGTATTTCATGGGTGATTTTGCTGGATTTTGCAATTAATTTCAACTATTCCCAAATTTATTTCCAAGTTATAACTTGTTATTGTACAAAAAATTTGTAGCAAAAAATCATGTAAAAATTACTGAAAACTATTTTGCAGTAATGAAAACTTGGGAAACCAAAATTTCAGGATTGTTGGTCTGGATCCAACTGGAATGTTTTTAATTTGCTCATGGAGTCAGTCTGATTCCAAAATCATATATGTTAGGCTACGGCCTTTAGGAGTAAAGTTGAAAAAGTGTGACACACTAATATTTGCATTTATTTAATATACAGAAAAAAACTTTATTAGACTAATTACAACCATTTTCAAAAATTTTTATCAAGCTAGAATAAAAATATTAATTAAAATTAAATAGTAAGATGTGCAAAAGTAAGTTAACCCTTACATTTAATATTTAGTGACTCCTCTTTTTGAGGTCATGACATCGACCAATCATTTTCTGTATTTTTTCAGAAGTTTCTGACAGTAGAAGTTTCTGTCAATTTCTTCTTGGCAAAAATCCCACCATTGCTCAATATTATCTGGGTTTCTTGCATGTACTGCTTTCTTTAACTAGAAGCACATATTTTCAGTTGGGGCTTTGATCAGGATTTTGACTAGGCCATTAAAAGACTTGGAACTTCTTTTTTAAAACCTATTTTTTTTATGAATTTGCTTTGAAGTTTTGGATCATTGTCCTATTGGAAGACCCAGCCGTGAGCTAAACCCAACTTTCAAACTGAGGTTAAGTGCTTGGTATCTTGCAAGGTCCATTTTGCTGTTAATGTGTACTATTTTGCCTGTTCCAGCTGCAGCAAAGCACACCAAATCATTATGCTGTTGCTGCCATGTTTAACTGTTGGTACCAAATTCTTCTTTTCAAAAGCATTATTAGGAGCTT